CAGTTCAAAAGAAGTCAAATGAGTGTGTGATAAGTTTTCTGACAGCAAAGGGATTTGAGAGCGTTTTAATGATATCAGAATGGAGGTGTACGAAATACGGAGCAATCTGAATGAGCTAGCGCAGCTTCTGTCAGCTAAATACGCAGTATGTTGCTGCATTCCCCAAACCGGCTGGCTTTGGTCTTGTTTTTTGCATTTATATGCAGTGGAAACATACAAACAGGCCAAACTCCTCCTAAAACTAAAATCATGTAAATTGGTTGATCACGTACTTGTTTTGCTCATTTGTGTGCAGCCAAAAAAAAAAAAAAGTAATTTAACAGTACGGTATGATGTTCGTTGATCTACAGTCTTCATGGAATCACTATGAGTCACACACAGAAACTAAGCTTGAGCTATGTTCCATTATTGATATTATTATTGTTTTCCAAAAGTGAAAATGGTGAGCTAAGATCAAGTGATACTCTCATCTCTTTAATCTCTATTATTATCAAACCTTCATATGCATGAAAGATGGATAACAAAAAATTGGGGTTTTCCCACTTTACAGAACAGTAGTTGCGGTCAGCTTGACTTTGTGTCAGCTCCAATCAGATTGCAATGTTTTCTCATCAGTCACCACATCCACTGTAAACACACACCACCTGCAGCACTTCTGCACTTTTCAAATGTATGTTCAATATGTTAGGAGTGTTTCTAGTTATATAAACACAGCATCTTTTTATGGCAGCTATATATAGGAACAAATTAGGTTTATGAGCATCATTCCCTGCTTCAATCTACTAGTTCAAAACAGAAACTGTAGCAGTGCCCCTGTGGACCAGGTTCCAGCACAATAATAACACTAATTTATATTGCAAGCTAATATTTGTGACTAATACACAAACCATTGCAAATTAATCTAAAGCAATGATACTGTGCATGAACCAATTACATGCCACAGGTCTGGCGGCGTGAAACATCATAAATTAAAGTCAGTGCAACTATGGTGTGAAATGAACTGGTTAAAGTCATTAGCTGCAGCGCAAAGACATGGTACTAACATCATGGTTGGTGGTGATACGTAAAATACTTTGAAGGCCAAGAGGAACCTAGAACTGTCAAACTGAATAAAAATAGAGTATGTGATGTATTAGCTCTCACATTCATAATACTTAACACTATCTATCTATCTATCTATCTATCTATCTATCTATCTATCTATCTATCTATCTATCTATGAATTTCTTTGTCTCTGTTTTTGGTCACATCAGCCAGCGTTGATCGTTACAATTATTTTTAACATGAAATGTGTTCCACCCTCTGAGTGAGCTTTTCTTTGGGGTGGTGTGTGTGTATGTGTGTGTGTGTGTGTGTGTGTGTGTGTGTATGTCTCTCTGTGCATTTCTGACGGGGGGGGGTGTTACATCCCAGACGTGTTACCACGGTGACAAGGTGCTCCCTGCCGCCGTCGGGTCTCGGCCAAGTTGGGCGCCGTGGTGACTGGATGGTGACAGACTTTGTGACGAGTCCACTGGGACACCATGGATGGGTCAACCTTTAAAATGCAGGCACTTGCACTTGACACAGGCACTAAATATTCAAAAGTTAAGCACGCACATTTAACCGTTTAGTGTGCGCATGCAAACGCTCCGCATAGTGCATGCATACATATACAGTACATGTACAGTAGGGAAACATACATGCAGTGTGCACGTTCAGCTCCAACTCACAGGACCTGCACTTTTTTGTGTGCGTGTATGTGTGTGAGCATACTGATGCATGCATCTCGTGTGACTTGTTGATATCACACTGAACTGATCGTTTGTCTTCTAAAGCAGCAGGGCGTCGTATCATGTGCTACGCTTGTGCAGTGCGAATGATTGCATACTTTATCTAAGATATTGTCATCAGCCCAAACATTCATTAAAACATCCGCAGTAATCATATAATTCCGTGGATGCTATCGCCCTGCGTGTGTGTGTGTGCATGCGTGTGTGTGCATGTTAATGACTTGCCTCAGCACTGAGACGGCCTAATGATTTATATATCCGCGTTGTTGCATGCACGCCTGCTTGTCTGTGTGCGTGGATGGGAGTGTTTCTCCACACCTACATAGTAGACGAACCTCGACACAATAAGTCTGACAAAGTGAAAAAAAACAAAGAAAAAAACCCCAAACGTCCATCTTAATTCAAATGTAGGATGCAAACACACCCACGCACACACAAACCTTGACCAGGAGACAGGAGAAGCAAGGAGCCACAGTTTGAGCTTCCCGCTGTGAGAGGTCACGACCCCTATCAGACTCTGTGTCAGTCTGCCTATTGTGCCTCGGCTAGAACACAAACACACACATACACACACGCAATGCTATAACTTACATGGTCTCCATGGCGATGGTCGGGGCGACAGTAAGGCGGCAGGATGGCGCTGTATTGGCTGCTGAGGTGTTCTGATGAGAGGACCCACCCTAATCGAGATCATATATATTCACTGTAGGCGAGCAAAATCTGCAGGTAAAATCACGTTAGATGATTAGGTGTATTGGCAAAAGTTTGATTTGCAAAACATTATCATTCATTAAAAGGCGATCATGAAACTAAACTCTGTTCTCATTATGACACTGATGGGGCACACAGGATTAAATAGATGTAGTTTCCAAAACACAACTGATAAATACATTTTATTTGTTTATTTATTTATTTTAAAGGAATCAAGATGTACGTGAATCAAAGTGTGTATGTGAGGCGATGAAGGGGTGGTCGTATCTGCCATTGACTTTGACCATCAAGACCAAAAGAACAGCGGCTACTAAGTAAAGTAACATGACTGTAATTCTCCCATAACTGACAATTAAGAGAATTTGGTTCAATCCTGTGTAATGGTATGTCATTCATTTTAGCATATTTTATTCTATGTCTGTCACTCTTAATGAAAACACACAACTTTGCTAAAGTCAGACAGTTTTGATTGTCAAAGTTTAAAAAAAAAAAAAAAAAAAAAGTTACTGTAAAGTTGAAATACCCCTTTGACCAGCTCTCACTACATCGTTCCCAAACTAAGAAAAGATGGCTGCATATGTCTTGTCTTAATTCTAATCAGTGTCTCTGAGGGTCAAACAAATCATATTCTCTTCCATCCTACTGGACTCTAATCTAATTTGGTCTTTTAAGCTCATTACAACTCTTTATCATTCCGTCAGTTAACAGGACGGGTCAGCACCGGGGTTTCTCTGCAAGGGCAAGTTATCAGTTAAATAATACAGGACTTCTTTGGATACCTGTTTGGAATGACGAGTAAAAAACTGTAACATCCTCCCAAGGTTGTCCTCAACAAGACCAAACTTAATGCACCCATGCAGAGTTGAAAAAGTTCCAGAGGAATAGTTCAACACTCCTGCAGGTAAAAGTCATCACAGCTCAATGTCCCGTCTCAGAAAATGTGCACCTGCTGCCCCCTTTTGATCACTCAACGTATGACAGTCTCTCACTCAGAAGACTATGGTGTTTCTCATGTGAGTGTGGCATCTAGTGGACAGTACACAGAAACAGGTGACTGAAAAGAAAGATGGAGATTGTGCTGCAGTTTCAAGATAAGAATTTCCATTTCTTCTTATTATTTTGTCTGCTTCAATTTTCATTTAATGTACTTATGTTGGTTATTCCATCTTGTCAAACACACTCGAAATTAATAACACTGATAGTAGCTGTATTCCATTTTGGTGCAGTGTTGTGATTTACCGGGACACCTAAATGCAAAAGAGTGAGTGTAATAATATTTGTTTGGGCTTTGCTTTCTTGGATATATTGAAAGTGATAAGTGACCACAGAGACTTATAATAAAGGTAAATACATTTGAAAACAAAAAATGTGGTCACAAAAATATTACCCCTGTTCAGGACTTTCATGTTGCCAGACGTAGAAGGTCCTTCGGGGTCCATTGGACCCCAAGAAAGAATATGTGCAAAATATTTGTTGGATTCATTACAGACTTTTACACTATGTTCAATACATTTTCTGATAAGTTGAAGTATTTTTGGTACCAAATGCATGACAAATGTCCCTGTTTTCATATATATATATAAAAATAAAAATCTTCAAAAATATAAAACAATGCCTGTCACCTAAACCAAATGGCCTGGGGTCCAAAAGACCCCCAAAATCCTGAACAGGGTTAAGAAACCAATATTATAATGGCACTGTAAGCATCCAGATTCTATTTTTTTCTGTCTCCCAAGACAAACTTGGGTTTTTCAGGTGTGAAAAACCAGCCAAACTCTCCAAGGATGACATTTTCAAACATCCATAAATCAATGTTCCTGTAGCTGAGTTGCACTTTAAAACTCCACCATATTTACCCCATAATTTACCCAACATGCATATCCTCCCAGGCAATAGGCAGTTATGAAATCACAATGTGTGCAATTATAATGTGCTGGTATTGTTTCTGAATTAAATTAATGTGCATAGCCTGCAGTGTTGCACAATACATGATAACCTTTAATTAACCTGTTTGCACTCCTCCATTGAAACAATAGACATGTGTACAGCCTCCAGTCACCTGAGGGCCACTAATCTAACTTTTTACACTACTGTTATAAAAGGATGGAGACGCACAGTTAATGACCCATACATTCAAATATTGTGGGTCCATCACGGGACACCCACAACAAGCGGTCGTTGGCTTAATGAATTTGCTTATATCACCAAATAACTGTTTCATAAGAGATGGCGAGACGACAAGATAACTCACCTCCTGTTCTCAATCCGGTAGCGGAACACACAGTTTATCGCACTGTAACCGCGTATATATCTATGACAAAAAGACCACAACACCTTATGTATGGGGATTAAACTATGATAAGGTAACTAGCGGGGGTCCTTGGGGGAAGTAATGACGCTACAAGAACAAAAAGTGGTTGCTGCTCACGACCTGTCAAACAGTTTGAGCCGCGTGTAGCAGCGAACTATCTTGACTTCCTGCCGAGCGCCTGCCCACTTCTCTCTTTGACCAATCAGCGGTACCGGCACTACATCCGACAGGGCCGCGGAGTTCGCGGGAAACCGGCTGCAGTCGGACTATGATAAATTAGACTCGGAATTTGACTGCTGTCTTTTTTTTCGAAACTTGTTTATTACCAATCCGGCCCTTTTCGACTAACACGGTTAAAAACAGAGCAGTGACACGGCTTAAATACCGCTGCACCGACACCGATGCTAACACCTGACGCTAGCTAGCTAGCTGGGTTGTCGCATCGGCTAACGGGAACATTGTGCTTCATGCGACTGCACGGAGAAAATACCGCTGAGTAGCAAGAGACAAAGGGCTGCCGCTGTCAGTCACGGGGGAGGAAAAATAAACGACTAGTTAACATGAGTTTGTTCAATTTGAACCGTTTTCGTTTCGAGAAGAAGACAGCGAATAAAGAGGAGGAGAGCGGGTCTAAAAGTCCAGAGTCTGAAAAGGAGAACAAGCCAGGTAACAAGTCTCTGCATGTTACAGCTAGCTAGTGCTGCTGATAGCCAGATGTGCCTGGCATCGTTAGCCGTTATATCAGTAAGGGAGCATAGTTATTATTCGCATGCTTTTCTGTAGCTTCTTTAGAGGAGTACGTATTATTATTGTGTGAGGTTTATGCTCCTGCAGTAGGAACCCACGGTATTGCAAGTGAAGCACAAAAGACAGTCTGTCAGCATTAATAGTGTGAAGGAATTTTATAAACAGCTATTGGGTCTTTGAGATAATTTCACTCTATTCTTCTTCCTTTGATGACACCTAATGTTATGATAAGTGCCAATATGTCAGTATATCGTCCATCTGAATTCCAATTGGGATAAAAACAAATGCAGCTGATTCATAGGCCCACACCACAGTTTCTGGTGTGGGTCCCTCACATATCAATCATCTGCAACTTCCACTTGTCTGTGAAGAAGATTGGATTGTTAGTCAATATATTGTTAAAGTATTTTATTTACACTGATACTGTTATTACAGTACTAAAGGCTTGTTAAAATGTGATCACAGTGCTCAGATATCTCACTTGCAATATTAACAGTTGCATTCAAATAACAGGATCGTCACTCCTGAAATCTACATAATTTGTATATCATGATGGAGGCTTGATCGTACTGTAGAACCAACCAGCAGAATATTGATATGTGCCAGGGCGCTGCCAATTTGGCATATAAACAAGACAAGACACATTTTTTTGTAATGAATACTGTCTTATGTCTGACGAAAGGAATGCATCTGCTAACATGTTTTACCATGATGTCTTCCAGCTAAGATGAAACCTGCCAAAGCCCCTCCAAAGTCCCATGCCCGCGGAGTGGTTTTTGAGGAAGTCCTTACTATTGACCTGGAGGAGGACGAGGTCCTCTCCGAACCAAATACCAAAATATCATCTTCCAGGAAATCCAAGTATGTGTTTGCTAAAATTACAGTGTTTTTTTCCACATCAATGCAGGTTCACACTGTGTAACAGCCTTTTTGATTGTCTTCTGTAGGAGTCCGGTTGGAAAGGCATCCAATATTGTGGTGTCGGATCACACAGATGACGAGGAAAATGAAATGGAAGACAAAGTGAGCAAACTGCTGGAGATGTTTCCTCAGCTGAGTAGACAGGAGGTGCTGGAGGTGAGTCTAGATGAAGCAGAGGTTTTGTCATTTTCAAGCACAGAACACATTTGTGTGACTCCAGCGATGCCAAAAGCCGCTGTGCAACATTTGTATTGCAGTGTTACACACAGTCAAACATATCTTGATCAAGGTCACTGATTTTACTCTTGGCTGAGTGTTTAATGGTGCTCATATATTCAATGTATATGTCAGACATCTGTCGTGTGGATACTATTGATTGAATTGCCCTCTTCAAGGTACCATCTTGTGTTTTTTCCAGGTCACTGGGAGTACAAGCACACTGGATGGGGCTGTAGCTGTCTGCCTTTTGAGGTTTGGGGATAAAGAAGGTAAATACTTGTTTCACTTTTTCATAAACACATACTGACTTGCATAACATGTTCCTGTGAGACATTCTGAAGAAAGTTTAGTTCGAGAAAAAGCATCAACTTTCCACAAAAACCTGCTAAGTCCTGTTTTGTTCTCTCAGCCCCGAATCAAGGCAGGAAGAGAAAGCAGGATGGATCCAGCAGTTCTCAGGACAGTGGTGAGAGTCACCCGAGCAAGAAGAGGAAACCATCAGAGGTAGGATTACTAAAGCTGCCTTTATGGATTAAAATGGCACCGCATGTACTCAGTATTTGGGTTCTGAGATTTTCGAGCAACTAAATCCATTTGAAGTGTTTATATGCCACAGATTTTATACTCACCAGCTTTAAAGCAGAACTGTCGGTCTATTGTCATTGTTTTAATGTCCAAAATGTACTTGAATGTACCCAGTTCTTTTTACCACTGAGAAAATACACAAATGTTTGCCACTACTGATAAATGAAAACACAAATTGTAGTTTGATGCACAACAGACAAACTATGATTGTAGCAGCTCAGCCAAAATGATGAGAAGCCTGGACTGATGGTCTAACACCTTTTAATCTCTCCTCCTTTTCTCCTATGACCAACGTAAATACATAACATCAACACATTGAATTTAGCTAGAACATTGCTAAAATTAGCCCACACTAAACATAAAAGAAATTGACAATTAGACACAAATAAAGTTTTACCTTGTTGCCCTTTCGACTGCTACTAAATTCATTAATCTCTCCCGTTCGCCCTTGTATGTTTTGTTTTGTCTCTTAACCTTATGTTGCCGTTACTTTACTGTTGGTGTCTACTGTTAGATTTTTTCAGTTTCCAAATGTCCATTCAAAATAAAAGCACTTCTGATTTACATTAAATAACAAAGTTAAAAGCCTAAAACATCAATACTTGACAGATTTAAGTTAACACATTAACTAAAGAATTAGAATAATAACAACATTCAGTAACTACAGAATAAGTAACATTTGAGTTACTTACAATGATTATTTTTGCTTTTCTTCTGTGCCAAATCTAAATCTTAAACCTAAAGTGGTCACAATTTTTGCTTTCTTGTATTTCAACCAAAAGGCCTCTGATGAAGGAGAAAGTGAAGGGAGTGAGCCCAGCTTCGAGAGGCAGGAATCCATGGTTAGAAGACTGCAAAAGAAGTTTCCTGACCAGGACAAGGAGGTAAAGACACACCTGGTGTCCAACCAATTGGGGGCAATTTGGTTTCATTTTTAGTCCAGTCTGATTCTGTGTGCAGTCAATAACATGGTAACTGAGGAATGTGTGTAAATGAGTGAGATTTTAATGCCACACAGTAATTTTTCATTGTTAGTCTCAGTTTACCAGCCCATGCTGTAGAACATAGTGGCCTGGCTTCAACATGCTATGATTCTGCTACAGGGGGAGAAAGGCTGGAGCTTGTTTGTATTTCTTTCAACCAATCACAGTCATTGTGAACAAGGCAAAGCGAAGGATGCAGCTTTGGTGTTCACTCACATTACTGACAGAATTGTTTTGGTGAAGCATGTCCAGCAAGGAGACGAGCACTTTGATTAAAATGGATAATCCAGAGGGTGTGCCCGACTAAATCCTTTGCAAAATATATGTGGTAGGTTGCTAGGCCAGAGGTTGTTGTTGTTGTAGCGAAGAAAACAGGAACACACAGATAACAGAAGGGAAGAACAATGAGAGGCCTGAAATGAGTGGCAGGTTTATACCCACATCCTACATCCAGTGAGTCAGACTAGTCATCTGTAGACCCTGCCTTCACAGTCTTAACTGTGACTCACTAACTTATTCAGTGAATGTGAGTTTTTAAGTTCAGCATTTTCAGAATATCTGCCTTGTTGTTTGAATTTTAGATTATGAAAAACAATGATGGGTTTATTGGATGTGCTGATTTTACGACTGTTTGCGGAAATTGTGGATCTTGTGTTTTATTTTCGATGCTCATCTGCTGTTTGTTTGGTGTAGGAGCTGCGGATGGTGCTGCAGGAACACGACTGGAACGTTGAAGACGCTCTGCAGGTTCTACAGATGTTCTCCGACCCAGGTGCAAACAACAGCTGCCATCTGAGCCTGGCAATCTTTTTACTTATCTGTGAACGTTTAAGTTATGCTGTTGACTGAGTCTAATATAAGCTGTTGGTTGTTTTTTTTTCTTATGTCAGATAATAGCAGTTTCAGCTCACCCGATTCACAAGAAAAGAAAGTCAGCAAGTCAAAGAGCAAAGAGAAGTCAAGCAGGAGCCACAGAGAGTTGAAGCACCACGAAGATCACCAAAATAGTAAAACGAAGGGAAATCACAAGGGCTCTAAAAACCACAAAGATATCAGTGAAACAGAAGAGGACAGCACAGATGATTCAGATGCTACAAAAGACAGTGAAGACGAGTCGGAGTCAGACGACAGCAAAAACAAAAGTAGCACTTCCACTCTCTCGTCATGGATTATAAAAAAACCAGACTCAGTGTCTTCATCCTCCTCTGTCACAAAGACTACTACCTCTTCCTCCCTGAAGCCGTCCTCCTCTTCCTCCGTGGCCCAGACGCTGTCCAGGTTTGCCAGCGTGACAAGCATAGCGAAGAAGGAGGCAGTGGAGAGAAAACGGAAGGCGCGTGCCTCAGATGAACGTGTCAGTTCGGAGGAGGACAGCGACGGCGAGGACACGGTGAACAGCGAGTTTGAGGACTCGGACGATGAGCTGGACTCTGAAGGTGGGATGACGGATCTGAAGAAGGAGATACTCAAGTTCTTCCAGGACGCGTCCATAGATGAGCTGTCGCTGATTTCCGGGTGCTCGGTTAAAAAGGCCCAGAAGATTGTGGAGCTGAGACCCTTTGATCAGTGGCAGAGCCTGGTGAGAGAACGTGTTTATTTGTATTTCTAAACACAAGAGGCAAAAAAACTCCAACAGATGATTCAGTCATGTAAAAGAAAAAAAAACGATTTGCACAAGTTTTCTGTGGGAGTCGTAAAAACAAAGAGCTGTAGTCACTCAAAGTCTAAAATCATCCTACCCAACACCTGGAAAAGGAGTTTGTGGCTTTTACAGTTTTGTTCACACCTTATTCATTTCATGAGCAAAGTCTTCTGTGTAGAGACGAGACATCCGTTACATCTGTTGACCAGCAGAACTCTTCACATCTCACCTTGTGCTGCCTTTAACAGATTCTTTTTCTAAACATCTCTTTGTCATCAGAGAGTAAATATTGACTGCAGTGGTGGGAAATCACTGCAGTTCTGTTTGGGTGTCGTTTTACAATAATAGGTCCGTCAAGTGTTTCATGGCTTTCTATAAACCGAACACTGTGCAGGGTTTTTAACGCCTTTTGTTGTACGTGTTGTGGTTTCTGTGGTGCTCCCTAAGATGACTTTAAAAACATTTATGATGCATGGTGTTCTGTTTTTTAGCGTAATAGCACCAGTGATGAGGACCTCCTGAACCAGACTAGTGGTTCTTAAACATTTATTCCAAATCCACTGTCAGTCCATCTAATGATTTATCAGAATTTATACAAACAGGCTGTGCTGCAGTAATGGGCATTGTTTGGATGCTTGCCACATTGTTTGATTTACAGCTTTATGCTCTTTCCTCTTCAGACTGAAGTCTTTCATAAAGACAATGGACTTTCAGAAGACCTGCTGCTGGGCTGCAGAGTCGTCCTCAAAGAGCGGAAGGTTGTCCTGGAGCTCATGTCCAAGTGTGAGACCATTTCTTCGAAAATGGTCAAAGAGGTGACTGAGGTGATGGAGAAGGGCACCGGAGCCATGAAACAACCCAGTGTACTCAACAGCCAGTGAGTCACGTTCACATGCTTTCATTACTGAAAATATCGTATAATTAAAATAAAACAAAATGCTCAAAGATGCACACAAATTATGAGTCCACATGAAGTGTTTCTAGATATGTCTGTTTAACCTTTTCACAATATTTAGTACCTTACAGTGTTCAGCATCTTCACAATGTACACATCAAACAAAAAGTTTCTGAGCTTTCTCACTCTAACAACACAAATATATTAGGCTTGAGAACTGTCAGTCCAAATGTTATCCCATCTGGATGAAGTTTGCAAGTTTCATCCTTCAAGGCAGCCTCCAGCATTTTCAGGAACTCCTCGATATAGCTGTCTTGCAAGCAGTTCTTCTAAGTGATTTATTCCGACGATTTAGCCGATTTGTTTTCATAAATTATGCACGAGGACTCTTCAGAAACTCACACTGTGTGTTTTGATAAAAATGAGAGATGCAGCTCTTGTTCTCAGCGGTATTGGTTGTCTTTCAGGTTCCAGCTGAAGCCCTACCAGCTGATTGGTCTGAAGTGGCTGCTGCTTCTGCATAAACACAAACTGAGTGGGATCCTCGCTGATGAAATGGTAAGGCAAGCAGCCTCAGACTCGTGGGATTTGGAGCGATGCGTGCCCAAATGTGTGATGTGTTAATCAAAAACAAATAAAATGGCCAAACTATTAGTGTAGAAACCAAACAGCACAGAAGGCGCATACAGCTGTCTTAAGTCACGAGCAGAGGGTCAGCAGCAGGGTTAAGTTTGTTGTTTTAGCCCCAAGTTGATGAGAGAAGTGAGATTTTGATTTGTATGGTCTAGTGAGGCTGAAGTATTTTTTTCTGCTGTCTGTACTGATAGTGATCTGAATCACAGATGGTCAAATATTGCTTTTGTTCATCCACCTGGGGCTTTCTTTATCACTTGCTGTTTCTGTTTGATGTCTCACTGTACCTCGCCATCACTTTATGTTATTTTATTTTTTCTTCCACTCACGCCTTTCAGGGTTTGGGGAAAACTATCCAGGCGATAGCATTTCTGGCCCAGCTGTACCAGAATGGAATCGAAGGTCCTCACCTCATCACTGTGCCTTCCTCTACGCTGGGTAATGATCTCCACAAATTGCACACTTTGCTTCTTGGCTTTCCATTGTGTAATCTAACAACATACACTTGGATGAGGTTACACAACAGCATGTGTTGTCTGTTTACAGCCATGTGTACACAAACCGTCTTAGTCGACTTACTGAGACTGTAGTGTTCACGTCTGCCTTTGTCTGCTGGATGATGAGCGAAAACAAGCAGCTGACGTCAGTGCTGAGCATTTCTGCCTTAAAACTCCAGTGTACTGATGACACAAAAACATGGATTCACTAATAAATCTAAGGAACCACTTGTGTCAACAAGCAGTTTGATAAGTAGGGTTCAATTACTCCAGTATAACAGTTTAGCATTGTGTAGCATAGAGTGGTTTTAGAGTGTTTGAGGAAAGTCGTAAGTGGGCTCGAACTGCTGCACACAACAGATTTGGATTGGATGAAGAAAGAGACAGCGACTTCATAGATTCACATATTCTAAACAGGGCAACAAATGTGGAAATATATGTCAGCCAATTTAAGGCAGAAATGGATTATTAGTTATATTACTGATACTTAGGGGAACACTTTCAAATGTGTAATTCCAGGGAGGCACCAGGAGTTCAGCTGGTTGAGCAGGTGACCCATGAAACTTGGTAGAAGTCCCAGAGTTTTTACAGAGAGGAACTTGTTTCTTCTTTGTACGACTGACACTGGAACTAGAATGAATGAATGAATGAATTCCCTTTATTGTCATTATACAGTGTACAACGAGATTGGAGAGCTTCTCCTATTTTCAGTGCAAATAAAAAACAAAATAAAGTGCAAAATTGCTCCGTTAAATATAAAGATAAGCAAGGATAAATATATAAAAAGAAATAAAAGATCCAAGAAATATTACACAAGATGATGGACATATACAGACAGATTATGAATATTTACATACGGATAATGGATATTTACATACTGCACATAGTGGAGGAGTCTTAATGAAGTCGAGTGGATGTTTTACATGTGAGAGTTCAGGATGGTGATGGCTCTCGGAATGAAACCGTTTCTCAGTCTGTTGGTCTTTGCGGTTGTTCATTACGTTCAGTCCAAATGAGTTTAATGCAGATTAAACCTATCAGTGAGTTTTGTATCTGGTCTCTGTGGTGACTTTCTACCAGATCAAGTTATGAAGAAGAGTTAGACATGTTTCTGATGCTCCAGTTAAAAAGGAAACTCTCAGAGGAGGTGTTAAAGTCTAAATAAATAAAGGCGACTGATGGTGATGACATACACCCATCAACAGTGTTTGTGTATATCCCCCCTCTGCCAGTAGAGGGAGACAAAAAAAATTCCACGCTGCAGGTTTAAAAAAAAAATCATTTATTTGAGATTTATGCTGTTTTCATTCTCTGTCCTGCAGATAACTGGGTCCGAGAGCTTAAGCTGTGGTGTCCTGACCTCAAAGTTCTGGTCTATTACGGTAAGAGGGCTTATTCATCAAAAAAAACTTGTGTTGTCATCCTTTTTGTGTACCCTGCAATTGACCTGGGAGCCTTAGTCCAGTCAAGTCAGGTACCTTGTCAGGTCAAATGTGCTCTAAAAATGACAGCACATTTAAAAACAACAGGTGTTGAGTGTTTGTCAGTCAAGACAAGTGGGTTAGCAATATAGGTAAGAACACAGAATAAGAAGCCCAGGTAGCAACAGGACTCAAAGAAAATATAAATCAAACAAGGCAAAACTGAGATAAAATAGATGAATTCAAGAACTAATTTGAGTCAGGTGTGTTGAGTCCGGAAACATCTAAAACCTGCAGGACAGTAGCTCATGAGGACCAGAGTTGGAGATCTCTGCTTTACACAAACAAAATGAGATGTTGTGTTGGTGATGAATGGTGCAATGGGATGCAGCTAGAAGATGAAACGTAATCCAGAAAGTGCAGTTCAGGAAGGCGTATGATAACCTGAGACACCACCCTATGATTTGTATTCCTTTGAGGCAGGATGCTGAGCCCTGGAAACATATCATTTATGTTAATTGTTGGAAGTTGCACAGTAGATTAACACTGTGCCACATGTACATATCTGCTGTCCTGCCTCTTCTGTGTGCACTTTCACTTGTTTTATTAATGTGCATTTGCTTTCTGCTTGAGAATGTTCAGCGTTTTGTGCTAATGATCAGTGAATATACAGATCAAAGCAAAGCGTGTGTCCCTGTGTCTTATGCAGGATCTATGGAAGACCGCCGCTACCTCAGACACGATATCCTCAATGAAGACGTTGAGTTCAACGTCATTGTGACAACGTAAGCAAACCGACACGCTCACCCTGCATGATGTTTCACTGTTATGATACTAAACATGCTCCTAGAAGGCTAAATCATTGCTGTAAAGAACCTAAAGCAGCTTCTTACCCACATCTTTGCTTTTGTTTGATTTGTTTTGCAGGTATAACTTGGCCATAGGGAACGACAACGACCGCAGCCTGTTTCGTAGGCTGCGTCTGAAGTACGCTGTGTTCGATGAAGGCCACATGCTGAAGAACATGAACTCGCTGCGCTACCGCCACCTCATGGCTATTAACGTTAGTTGACTTATTCCTATATGTTTCTCTTCCTCTCTTTCTATCCTTTTTATCCAGGAATGTTGCACATAGGAGTTCAAACTGTTTCTGTCTCTTTCCCTTGCAGGCAGAGCATCGCTTGCTGTTGACGGGAACTCCTTTACAGAACAATCTCTTGGAGCTGATGTCGCTTTTAAACTTCATCATGCCTTCCATGTTCTCCAGCTCCACTACGCAGCTCTCCAAAATGTTTTCAATGGTAAGTGTGTGTGTGAGCTGTGCCACTGCAGTTGAAAATTCAGTTTTGTTGGCTTAATTTTTATGTTGAATTTCAGGGAAATTCTGATTTCAAAACAAGAATTTGAGTCGCTGAAACACAGCTCCAAGTACAAAAGCACCATCAGTGTGTCACAAAATAACAGGCTTTGAGAAGGCGTCTTTAATCTCTGATCTTAACTGACGCCTAATCGTCCACCAGTCCCTTTAGATTATTATTATTTTCAGAAAGAGAAAATTGTCTTGGAGCGAGCTATACGAGCATCCCAAAGCAATCACAGTGTAATTATAGCGCCGTTATTTATTTTATCTCCCATCGGACTAAAGTGTTTAATGTCACGTCATGGCAGAAATCCCACGAGGAGCAGAGCCGTTTCGAGAGGGATCGCATTTCTCAGGCCAAACTCATCATGAAGCCTTTCATCCTCCGAAGAATCAAGAGTGAGGTGAGTTGTTCTGGAAAAGTTACAGATTTTGTTCTGCAAAAATCTGATCTATGTTTCAAGGGTGTTCCAAAGGAAAATCGTGGATGAAGCAGGGTGTCGTAAACATTTAAACAATCCTACTATGTTTTTTAGATGCTGCTTTATTAATACTCTCTCTGTTTTTATGTTTTAAGAGAAATAAAATCAAACTAAATTGAAAACAGAGGCAACATTGCTCCTTTGCATTTACTATTTTTTCTTCAAAACATTTATTATCCATCATTCTCTTATGAAAAAACATTGATTGCCAGTTGGTCTGGACCCGAATAGCCGAATATTCAGTCACTGTGCTGGTATTGGGAGAGCAGTTTTGATCTTCGAATATTCACCCCCGCCGCCGCCACCGTCACTGATCGGTCAGCCGAATATCCGGAGACCAGATATTGCCAATGGGACCAGCCCTAATTAATTAAGACATAAATAGAATAAAAGAGTTTGCTTATTGATACTACGGTCTTTAATAGTTTTGCCCCAGGCCTATGTAATACTGGGTTTCGGTGCCCTTCTTTAATCTTGCACTGAACTTATTTACTCAATCTGCCAGTTTAGAGAAACATTCAACACTCTGACAGCCTGCGGATACGATTTGATATCAGTATCAAAACTTCAGTAGTAATTGAATCCATTGATTTAGTCTCAGTTCTAAGTTGTAATTCAGCCAAGAATCAATTTTTCTTTTTGCAGCATTTGTTAAGACCATCTTTGCTTTTCCCAGGTCCTCAAGCAGCTGCCAGCTAAAGAAGAAAAGGTGGAGTTCTGCTCAATGAGTGAGAAACAGCAGGTTTTGTACCAGTCGCTCCTTAAAAAACTCAAGACTTCCACCAATGGCGAGAGTAAGCCTCATTTACATAGCAGAATATTCTGCTCTCTATTTTACATCGCAGCATTGTTTTATGCAAATAACATAAATTGATGTTTGAATAACAATAACACACGTCTTCTCCTCAGAGCGCGAGTTGTGTAACGTGATGATGCAGCTGAGAAAGATGGCCAACCACCCCCTGCTTCACAGACAGTACTACACCACAGACAAGCTCAAAGCCATGAGCAAACTTATGCTCAAGGTCAGTCTGACTTTTTTAATCTAACGCTTCTTGTTACAGAATTTCCCGAGTTGCAAGACTTAGCTGGCCGATGATACTAACTAGTGATGGGTCCAGCAACACCAATGCGTGGGCGCGTGTGTCGAGCTCATGGAGCGAAACCCCGTGTCGATGCGCGTATCGTTTGAAGAAAGTCACGCCAAACTGTGTTTATAAGGAGGCGCATCTGTCAACGGGATGCATCTCTGCCAAAAGAATAACAGATCTTTTAAAGCACAATTCCAAACTATTATGGAGCCCGAAAGAAAAAGAAAAGTTCCCACCGTGTGGGACCATTTTGATCTTATGTCGGCAAATAAGGTATTTGTTTTATCCTGTTCCTGGAGAACTTGCATCAAAAAAACGTAATGCCAAGACACTGGAACAATTTATATATATATATATAAATCCCCTCCTTGCCTCAAAGACAAGAACATAAGCATCCTCACATCCACAACACTTTCACTTTGATTTTCACATTATTTATTGACTGTATATTTTAAAGATATCAAATATATTTTAAACTAAATTAAGATATAAAATAATCCAATAGAAAATACAGTAGCTTAAATTATAATATTGTATATACTAGGTCATTAAATCAGTATTGAGCCTGTCAACTAGGCTGCCTGTAATGATTTCTAAGATCCAGCAGGTGTCACTATTGAGCAACATAGTGACACAGTACCAACACAGTGTCAATACAGTTTGGGTCATGTGCCACAACGCTTCATGAGGCCTCATCTACCCATCACTATACGAAGCATTAAAATAAATTTACCCCCTCAATGTCTCTGGTTTGTGGTGAGCTGCTCACTCTACCAGCATTGGTACCGACTCTATTCCACCATAATACAATGAAGATACACATTTTTGTGTTAACACTGTCAGACATTTTCGGGATGTTTAATCAAAATCATTCAGCCTTTTAATTTGTTTTTCCGCACTAATATCCCCCCCTCTCCTCTTCTCTCTGTAACATTTTGGTGTATTTCTCTGCCCTCTCATGTTAAACGTTCCCTCCTTCTTTCTGTCTCTTCAGGAGCCCACACATTTTGATGCAGATGCCGCTCTCATCCAAGAGGACATGGAAGTGATGTCAGACTTCGAGCTGCACCGTCTGTGCCAGCAGTACTCCTCCATCAGCTCCTACCAGCTTGAAAGCAAGGTCCTGCTCGACTCTGGAAAATTCCTCCATCTCACGGAGCTGCTGACCTCGCTGAAAAGCCAAGTAAATGCTTAAAACCACATTTGGGCTGGGTTAAGAAGTACATGCACAACTTTTTCTGTGCATATGAATGATTTGCTGTAATCCTACAGGGGGACCGAGTGGTACTATTCAGTCAGTTCACCATGATGTTAGACATCGTGGAAGTGCTGCTGAAACATCTGAAGCATCGTTACGTCAGGCTGGATGGATCCACACCCATAGCCGACAGGTCAGTTTTATCTCCGATTCAAACTTGGACCAGTTGTAGCCAACAAAGCACAATGCTGAAAAGATTAAAAGTTCAATGTTAATTGTTTTGCCTCTGTTGTCTCAGATTGAGGGAGCTGCACAAACATCAGACATTACAACAAGCACATTAAATGAGGCTACTTGTTGATTATATCTTATTTTTCCAGCTGTTGCTTTTCTAATTGAGCCAAAATGCAATGTTTGTTATTCGACCGGTGCTCACTTGTAATGGCGACACTGATTTCTTTGACCTGCAGGATTGTGTTGATTGATGAGTTCAACACGGACCCTGACATATTCGTGTTCCTGCTGTCGACGCGCGCCGGTGGCCTCGGCATCAACCTCACCTCGGCCAACGTTGTCATCCTGCACGACATCGACTGCAATCCCTACAATGACAAACAGGCAGAGGACAGATGTCACCGTGTGGGCCAGACCAGGTGAGATGGGATCTGTATTGAACACAGGGTGTGTTTTACCTGATGAAGGCTTGTAGTTTCCTCTTATTATGGCAGCAATTGGGCAGAAAACAATTCTGCTGTACAGATTTAGATGCCAGTGAAATCTCAGAATAATACAGTGGATATTAAATGCAATTACAGGACCTTCCTTGGGCAAAATGCTCCTTTTAAAAACAGTACTTAATATTTAGTGTAGTGACTAATGTACCTCACTCTGTGTGTCAGGACTGTGCAGGTGATTAAGCTGATCAGTAAGGACAGCATAGAGGACTGCATCCTACAGGTGGGCAACAAGAAACTAAAGCTGGAGCAGGACATGACCACTGCTGGAGAGGGTAAGACCACACATACATACTGGCAGCATTTATTATCACACTGTTACTCTGTAATAAATACAATAAATTTGACATAAAATCCAAAATATGCCAAACATTCAGCTTGTGCTTATATCACAGTGAATGTGACTTATAGTTACTCCTTAAATAATCAGACTTGTGCAAACTTCTGCACATCAGTGACTTCATCAATAAGGGAAGGAGTCAAGCAGATTCTTGTGCTGCTTGGCTGCTGCCCACAAGGGTACAAAAGTGATCCTTTGTGTTTTAAGGAGAAATATTTGTTGGTGATAGTTTCCTAAAAGGCTTATCCAAAGGTCAAAAGTATAAAAAGTTATATTCAAACTCATTAATTCAGGAGTTAACCTTGTAAGAGTCCTTCCTCTGGACCCATGAATCATGCAATTCATGTTGTGAATACAGAAATGACGGTACAATAGCACAATTACCATGTAGAGAAAGGATTCATGGTATCAGGCAAACACAGCACAAACACATTTGTCAAATACAGGATCGGACATAATCTAGTATTGGTTCAAAAGATCTTACAAATCTAAATGGTAGCCTTCTAAAATTATTTCTGAACGGAAAGAAATGAAGCCTCGTTTGTTCTTCAGGTGGTGAGGGGACCATACCGGAAGATATGGCGTCTTTGCTCAAAGCCTCACTGGGACTGTGACACGCCAACAAGGGAAACCTGAAACTGTGCGAACACATTTTTTGATGGCGTTCCTGTGATTCTGGGCAGACTTGATAATACCGACTGAACACACACACACACACACACACACACACACACACACACTTTAGTGTCTATACTGGAGAACTACTGCAAACCACATACTGCCATGAAAAAAAAAAAACTGAAATCTGATCTACTGTGTTTCATGGTAGCTGTGCCTAAAACACTATTTTTACACGCGTACAGTTCTTGTTCTGACTTTGACTACGAGACCAGTGTGTAACGGCTAAACGAAAACTTTGCCTTCAAGTTGTTATGCACTCCACGTGTTATGTGAGGGTTCCTAGCAGTAGAAATGTGTATGTGTATGCAGGTAAGGAAAATGATGCATACTGAGAGTCTTTGATGGATAAAAAGAAAATCTAAATTCTACTACAGTTATTCACCTAAAGAGGGTTTTTTTTTTTTAAATTCACTCCCTTTCATTCCAGACTGAAAATCTTTGTTGGTATCCAGCTTTTTTTTAAGCTGCTGTCATCCATCGCAACATTTAAACAACAGCAGCAGGAAGGATGAATTTACTAAAAATATTGCTATTTACAATGAGTTCCCGACTGTTTCTAATAATTCAAAACATAATTCAGCCATGCATTTGGATTCTCTGTCATTGTCAGTGTAATATGTTGAGTTTCATCCTTGCATCATATCTTAAGTACTTTTTTTTTGTTGATAGAAACAAGAGATAGTTCGACCTTTTCTTTTTTTTGCCCCCAACAACACCTGATTGTTGGGGTGTCATTGATGCATTTAATATAAAAGTATTCTGGATTTTTCTAGTGTGTAAAACTAGAAAAACTGAAACAAAAGTGTAAAATATATTGTCTTTAAAAAAAAAAAAAAAGAAAGAAAAACATGGTGCTTGAATTGGTTTCTTTGCCGTTCTTACTTCTTTAAATATCTTGAGCCAAGTGACGGAGAAGATGGTTTAAGAAAGCAGCTGCTGCATTCATGTACTGTATAAGTGGCTAAAGTGTCGTACGTGTACAAGTGTTACTGTAAAAGCTTTTCCTAAGTCGTTTGTATGTTTTTTAGGTTCCTGTTTGAACGAAATAATAAATATTGGAATAAATATTTGTGGTGTTGCTTGCAGCGATTCAGCAGGAAGAGCTGACATGAACACTTTCTACAGTGGAAATCCATTAGGAGGGGTTATTTTCATGGACAAAAACTGTAAATATGCAACTTTGGTACACAGTAAGGAGTTTTTAGGGGTTTAATCAGTAATCAGAGGGATTTCTGATCAGGTGTGAATTTTTCATGTTTGACCACAGATGGAAACTTTTTGAATGTCAGGCTCAGCAACAGCAAGGTTCATAGTTGTTCCATGTGAATTAGGCCACATCACTGACATGATTATGTATTCATTTTTTTATGTAGTAAGTAAGTAGTGGAAGATTGGCCATTTCTGCAAGGTGGATCGGTGGTTAGCACCGTTGCCTTGCAGCAAGAAGGTCACCGGTTCGCATCCCGGTGAGGACACCCGGGATCTTTCTACGTACAGTTTGCATGTTCTCCCCGTGCAGCGTGGGTTCTCTCCGGGTTCTCCGGCTTCCTCCCACACAAAAATGTTAATCGTAACATTTTCTTGAAGCCTGAGAATCATTGGCATGCTTCCTCCCACAGTCCAAAAACATGTTGAGGTTAATTGGTGATTCTAAATTGTCCATAGGTGTGAATGTGAGTGTGCTTGGTTGTCTGTCTCTAAGTGTAGCCCTGTGATAGACTGGTGACCTGTCCAGGGTGTCTCCTGCCTTCACCCTGAGTCAGCTGGGATAGACTCCAGCCCCCCCGCGACCCTAGGGAGGATTAAGTGTTGTATAGATGATGGATGGATGGATGATTGCCCATTTTAAGTTGGATTTCTGAATAGTTTCTAGAAGTCAAAATGTAGCCTCTTCAAAACATGTTTACAGGCTGAACAACGTTAGAACTAAAATGGAAGGAGTTGCAAATGATTACTGTAAAATGCAAATCTTTTGTTCTTGTACACATCTCACACTTCAAAAAAGTCATTATCGCTAGACAGTACATCATTTCATCAAGCATAAGAGAACTCAAGGTTACTTAAAACTGTAAATGATGGTGTCCCGAATCACAATTTCTTTATTCTAATTCTTTTGCATGACAAATGTACAACATGACATTGGTTGGTTAATACGGCAGGATCACAAGACATTTACGTGACGGATAATTGCCAACTACATATATATATATTAGTTTTGTTCATTTATGTTATCAAGGGGTATGTGAGAAAATTTAAAGACGGTTTGTTTGGTGTCCATGCAAGAAAGCAGTTTACAAGGTCTTTAAAAAAAAAAAAAAAAAAAGACACTTAAAAACGTTGAGTGTCACAAAGATCCTTAAATCTACAACAACATGCTGTCATCTGATGCTCTACTCAGCATTGGGCGAGTATCGTCCACACCTGAACCCTGTCAAATGAGCATCACATTTGATGGTGTAGGTGAAATAGAGAACTCCTTTGCGCAGCTGACAGCTTAGAGAATGAGTTCCTCTCTCGGGAAACACAACGCATCTCCCGGCGACATCGTTATAAAGCACGTCTCTATCCCAGACTTCAAACCTCATCTCCTGACCCAGTTCCACTGAGCCAAAGTCGTAAGTGGCGTTCCACACCGGGTCATTGTTGTCCATCACCGTGTCGGTCTCCTCATACATGCCGCTGTAGAAGATCTTCACGTAGGCGTCGGTCTTCGTGAAGGTGTCGGCCCTCAGACCCGCAGCTCTGTGGATCACTAATGTGAGACTTCCTCTGCCAGCCCTTAAAGGACAGCAGTTATGGTCCAGGTTGGGAGTCGGGGAGCAGTTCTTGAAACCAGCCTGGTCCTCTTGCAGCTGGTTCTCCTTGATGTACTGTGTGACGGTGCTTCTCAGGTTAGCGCTGATCTGCAAGTCCTCCACTAAGTGATGCAGAGGGAAGATGGCGTAAGAGACCACGTCGGGATTGTCGTGGAGGCTGTTCATCCAGCTTTGGTACGCTTCTTGTGGATCCTCCTGGTAGAGGATGTCGGGGAAGTACCTCTCCCCTCCGATAACCTCGATCTTGTGGGTCATGAAGCCTTGGTAGAAGCCCATGCTCATGTTGCCCTTCAGGAGGTTGTCACACTTGTTGGAGAAGGTTGCGTTGGAAGGGAGGAAACCCAGAGCCATGCGGAGTTCAACGTTCAGGCAGGTTTTAATCTCCGACTCTGAGAAGCCCTTCAGTGTGGCCAGACAGGTCCTGAAGGCGGTGACTCTCCTCACCTTACCCCCAAGCTGGACCTGACGAACAGAAACAGATGATGGATGAAGGCTGAGGATCCCTTTGTGGCTGATCAGTAACAGTCCATCATCACTTATCTTATTTTTATTCGACTAACCCTCTGAATTCTAAGCAGTTTCTAGACTATTCTTCTTCTTATTGTTTTGTTTTTGTTTTGATCTTAGGCCACATTTTTAATCACCGTTGGCTCAGCAGAACTTACAAATGGCTGTAGTTTAGGAAAAGCAAGTTATAATGCCTTAAACATGCTAAACAAAAAATGGCTGTTTCATTTCTTTCATTTTATATTTTTATAAAGATTTGAAGAGAAAAAAAATGGAGTCAGCATGTGCACCATTTTCCCACAGTGTTACCAATACTGGAAAAAAAATAGCATTTCCACATACTGTATACATATTACTAGTTAAATTTTTACAATCTCAAACTCACAATATTTCACACGACTCTGCACATAACCCAGATAGATATTTCATCATGCTAAATGTATAACAACTTGCTGACATGCTTCTCCTCTGTATACTGTTTTTGAGTCGCGCTGTGTTACACCATAAAAAGAAGAAAAAGAAAAGCCTGTGCGGCCAGCAAGTTCCTGACCTGGTGTATGTAATGTGTTCCATAGGTGTCTATAAGTCGTCTGTATAGGGCTTTGCTCTGGGTTGTATTCAAACTCTGCGGCAGTCTCTTCAGATGCTTCGTGAACTCTGCACTCAGCTGGGGATAATCAGCCAGCCTGTAGCTACAACAACAAAAGGCATGTGGAGTTCAGCCACAACACAATGACAATATAATCTTGACTTTTCTGTAACAAAGACAACAAACTGCTGAGTTCACTCTGATGTCTCAACTTGAACCATTAGACTTGGAACAAATATGTTAATAGTAACATTTTTTGAAGCCTAAGAATCATTGGCATGCTGTAATCTCGGCTGGCTTTCAAACTGTAACACATCTGCCTCCTTTACATGCAAACATTGGCAACAAAGCTTTGACAAACTAAGTGAGCATCATTTGGGTTTTGCTCATGCCCGTGTTTATATGTTGTACTCGGCTTTTATGTAAAAACACTGCATTGTAAGCCGTTTCCCTCATTGTGAGAGCCTATTTTTGGTACTGGATCTCGGTCCAATTAATTCCTGATCCCACATTATCTACTTTTTTACCAATCCCACTTCTCCTTACCTGTAGTAGGTGCAACTGATTTCATGAATGGCAAAAGTGGCTTTATCCACGCTGTGCTGCGAACGAGCAAACTTTGCCAAATCTGAGCGGCTTCCTCCCAGCACTGCTTTGCCAATTTGATCCAGGCTCAGACCCAAACCCCAGTTATTGTTAACCAGAGAGTTGGAGCTGCGCAGCAGGGAGTCCACGGAGTGGTGGAGGGCGCTGGAAAGCTGCTTACTGCAGCGGCTGAAGGGCCGCCAGTCGAGCACTGCTGCTGGGAGCCTCTGAATCTGAGGGGAGGAAAGGCAGGATGTGGAGTGGGAGGCAGGTGGAGAAAGAAAATAAAGGAAGTACAGCAGGAGGAAAAAATGTAGGGCAGGAGGAGGGAAGTACAGAAAAAATGGTTTGAATGGAATTAAGTGAATGGAGTTAAGACAGACGAGGAAGACAATCAGCAGGTGTGACGGCTCTCACCTGGCCGTCTTGGAAGCGGTTTGGACACAGTGTACAGGAGCGGTTGTCAGCCAGATGAGCTTTGACATTGATGACATACGCTCCCGTTCGACGCATCCTCACCACATCAAAACCCTCCCCTGCCAGGTTGTGACCCGGAACAAAAGGAGCTTTCTCACACTCTGACCCTGTGCCAATCCGACAGCCCTGCACCTCCAACGCTCCTGACAGAGCCAGTATACACAGGACAGCATTTCTCCATTGGAATCCTCCTGCTTGCATGGTTACCTAAACGTAACAGAACACAGTGTGTGTGAGAAAGTACCGTTTAGATTTTAATGATAACTTCATATTTGCTGCTTAATGTTCCCTGTAACGGGACTGTCTTGCCCAAAGTTGCTTTATTTGCCTTCAAGTTCAAACTTGAACTCAGATTGAATTGTGACAGGTTAGGTTCGCTGTAAACAGAGATGAGCTTCTAATCCTCTCTGCAAAATAAACTGCAGTAATCCTGCTACAGATGTTGTGTTAATGCTGACAACGTACAAAAGAGACACACAGCACACGAGCACATGCACTCTTACCTTGGTGTGTTTTTTTTTTCTCGTCCTGCGGGTTGTGTCTTCCTTCAGGAGTTGTCAAGCAGCGACTGTCTTTTCCTGCTCTCTTGATTTTAACTCCTCTTTATTATCCCCATCGATGGCACAGCTTACCGTAAATGACAAGCTATAGACTAACTAAAGTCTTGATCCTGCTCAAAATGAAATCACGGTTCAGCGAGCTTGGGCTTTGCTGGCAGGCTGTGCTGGAAGCCTGCTGGGTGCACTCTTTGGTCTGTCCTCCGCCTTTTGACAAAGGAACAAGGAGGGTGTTTCCCTGCTTCGAGGCTGTGGATCTGCTGCTCTCTCTCTCTCTCTCTCCCCCCTTTCCTCCCCCTAAAGGCCTTAACAATTTCCTCAGCATGAGTGGTTTTGTTTTCATGTTCAAGACCTAGTTTTGTCAATCCCTCTTTGCCCTGTATGTGTGCGTGCACGTGCACTTGGGCGTGTGGGGGGAGGGAAATATTTGTGTAGTCACGAGAGAAAAGATGAGCATTAGTCTAAGCGTTTACTGGAAATGGGTGTGTAAATGCATGCGAGTCTGCAGTGTATATGGGTGTACATCTGTGTTTTTGTCTGCATAGCGCCTGAGCTGGCCTGTCTGTGTGCTGATAACCTTACCAAAACCATGACGTCAGCTTTGCCATTGTCTATTTATGGATGTGGGTGGAATGTTGGTGGTTTTCTCGGTGAGGTCAGTGTAACTAGGAGCGTCTTGCTGCGCTCGACTGTTCAACGTGAGACAGAAAAAGATTTGGTTTTCAGCTCAGGTTTGACTTTATATTTAGCGAACCAGTATGTACTTTGGTGCCACAGATGTTGGCACGCCTTCTTATCAAGCTCCCTTTAACGTTGACTTCTGCGTTTTGTACTTTCACAGGATACTATAAGTAGAACATCGAGGTGCAACTGCATGTGTTTCAGATAAGATTGTGGAAACGGACCAGTGACTGAGGTAGTTTAGCAAGTGTGAAAGTTTGATCTGAGTGTTGTTTCTTTATTTTTAAAAAGGAATGTATTATACATGGGCTGCAAGGTGGAGCAGTGGTTAGCTCTGTCACCTCACAGCAAGAAGGTCGCCGGTTCATGTCCTGGTAAGGACACCCGGGAACTTTCTGTGTGGAGTTTGCATGTTCTCCCCGTGCAGCGTGGGTTCTCGCCAGGTTCTCCACCTTCTTCCCACACAGTCCAAAAACATGTTGAGGTTAA